AATGGAGAAATCAAAGCTCACTAGCACGTTCAATAAAGGAGGATGACAAACTCTTGTCTTTTGGGTTAACCTTGTCCAATACTTCTCCATTTTCTATAAGGTTTTCTTTAATTTGGTGGCAAAGCCGCTAGAAAGTGGTGGTGGAATTAGTCGCTTTTGATGGAAGTCAATGGAGAAGGAAAGTAACATCCTTGAATATTAAATCAATAAAACTCAAATTGATGAAAAATAATGTTGCAATTTTTAAATTTTTACGGAATATTATTTCGAGATCAAAATTTTCCTTGCCTATATATATTTTTAATATATAATACTTTGTAATTTTTTAGAAAAACAAACAAATTGATAAAAAATAATGTGATGTGGACACTTGACCAAGTACTTGTTTGAAGTGTCACAATTCTCACAAAGAACCTTATCTTTGCAACCAATTAAGTCACTAAATGTTGAACGTTTCTCTTATTCTTCCAGTCTAAAGTTGGATCAATAAACATAACTAAAGCAAAACATGTTTTTGGATTTATCATGATGTATCTTATCTATCTTCCATGTTCAAATGTATCTATCCCATGCTATCGTAAAGCAACTAGGGCCAATGATTACATCATTAAGGAAAAAAAAATCTTATTAAAACAAATCTTCTACACTAAAGGGGAAAAAAAAAATTAAAAAATCTTATTAAAACAAATCTTACCCACTCAAAATATAACAATCTAATATCATATTATATAATATCATATCATATCATATATCACTAATATATAAAGTCAGTCTCGCAATCAGGCCACGAGACATCGACACTTGGTATTCCAGTTTTTCACCAAGTGTCGCGCCACGTAGGCGATAAATAGGATGCTAAATAATCGAAATTTGAATAGCTTTTTAATGATAAAAATGTTATAGAGTTTTATTATTGATACACTACTAATATTTCACATATACAAAATTAATCATAACTTTTAATAAAAATCTAATAACTCAGTTCTACTTCCATCATAAAATTCATTTTAAAAGTTCTTTATAATAAGAGCCATTTATAATATATTTAAAATAATAGAGAATTAGTAAAAATAAGTTTTAATCGGTAAAAATACTTTCAGTTTAGTAAAAATAATTTAAGTATGATATCGTATGTCTAAATATACTGCATTATCAAAAGTGAATTATATGACCGTATTTAACATTATATTCAAGTAAAAAGGTTTATCCTAAAACTCAATAAACAACCTGGGTATCGCCCGCGACACAAAACTAGTCACTAGTATATAAAGCCGGTCTAACATCCAGGTCACGAGACAGCGACACTTGGCATTCTAGTTTTTGCCAAGTGTCGCGCCATGTAGGAAATAAATAGGTATTATTGTGACACCTATGATGCTAAGTAAGTGATTTTTTGATAGATTTTTGAAGATAAAATTTGTTGTATAGAGTTTTATTATCAATAGAATTCTAATATTTCATATATACAAAATTAGTCATAACTTTTAATAAATATCCTATAACTCAATTTATTTTCATCATCAAATTCGTTTTAAAAAATTCTGTGAAATAAGATTCATTTATAATATATTTAATCACAAACTTTTATACATAGCTGGCTAAACCGTGTCACCAACTATTACAAGAGTTACTTCGTTAGTGCTATAGGGGTTACTTGGTCAGTGTTATAGTAGTTACTCAATCAGTGATATAGATAAGGATTACTTAGTCAGTGTTAGAGGTTACTCAGTTAGTATTACAAGGGTTACTCGGTCAGTTTTATAGGGGTTACTTTGTCCGACCAGATGGTATGACTAACCGCATAAAAACTGCATTGTTATTTAATTTATTTTTTAAAAAATTAGAGAATCAATAAAAATAAGTTTTAATCAATAAAAGTAATTTTAGTTTGGTAAAATTACTGTTCAGTAAAAATAATTTAAGTTCAATAAAAAATAATTTCAAGTCAATAATAACATAGATATCTATTTACAAACAAAACTACAAAAAGTACACTATTATATAAATATATCGTATGTCTAAATATCCTACATTATCAGAACGAATTATTTGACCGTATTTAACATTCAAGTAAAAAGGTTATTTTAAAATTTTATCAACCATCTGGGCATCGCCCGGGTACAAAACTAGTCACTAATAAATAAAGCCGCTCTCGCAGCCAGGCCACGAGATAGTGACACTTGGCATTCCAGTTTTTCGCCAAGTGCCACGCCACGTAGGTGAAAAATAGGTATTATTGCGACACATATGATGCTAAGTAAGGGATAGATTTTTAAAGATGAAAATGTTGTATAGAGTTTTATTATCGATATACTTCTAATATTTCATATATACAAAATTAATTATAACTTTTAATAATATCTTAAAATTTGGTACTATTTCCATCATAAAATTCGTTTTAAAAAGTTCTTTAAAATAAGATCCATTTATAATATATTTATCATGAAAAATAATTATTGTTTTGGTAAAAATACTTTTTGTTTAGTAAAAATAATTTCAGTTCAATAAAATATATTTCAGTTAGTATGTCTAATATCCTGCATTATCAAAAGGGATTATAGGATTGTATTGAACATTCAATCCAAAAAAGTTTATCCTAAACTTTTATCAACCATTTGGGCATCGCTCAGGCACAAAACTACTATATATATAAAGGGGAGTTTTTTCCCGAGTTTTTAGAGCGCCACGTAGGATTTTAATTTTAAAATTTTTTTTAGAGCGCCACTTAGGATTAATATTTTTAAAACGCTACAATAGGATTTTGCCACGTAAGATTAGTTATTTTTTTTAAAAGCGCTACGTAGAATTATAATAAAAAATCGCCACGTGGGATTAATAATTTTAAAACGCTATAAATAGGATTATGCCACATGAGATTAATTTTAGAGCGTCACATAGGAAAATGTTATATTTTAGCCAATATAAAAAAAAGAATGGCAATTTATTTTAGATAAAATTTTTTATGTTAATTATAAATAAAATCAACGCGTTTTTTGTATGGCTGGTCATATCATGTGGCCGGCTGAGACACACCTAAACACTGGCTGAGTAACCCCTGATCGTCCGAGTAACCCCTGGTTGATTGAGCAACCCTTGACCAACCAAGTAACTCCTAATCAAGTAATCCCAACCACACGGTATGACCAGCCACATATGAAACTTTGTGAAATAAAATATTATCTTTTTATATTACGAATTTTATCCAAATATGAGAAACAAAGTTAATAATTCATTTTATAATAAAAAAAATTCAAGTAGTGAGCAAGCGAATATCACAAAGTTTATTAGATAAATATATATTAGTAAAATATTTTATTTGAAAAAATACAAATAAACCGTGCGTCGCACGGGTTTCATCTAATAAGTTTTGTATAAAGCAGATTATCGTTTATTTTATTGGAAATAAATCAATCTAAGGGTAGCTTTAATCAAATAATTTCTATAGTAACTTTAACTGAAATTCTACACCATGCATTTTAACCCATTTAAGGGTAACTTTTGATTACAATGAGTTTGATTGTATTTAATGTATATATGTGTTATAAAGGTTGATATGATCGATTTATCTTATACGCATATATATACATATAAATTTTTCTCATTATTCTTATTTAGAGGAGGAACTTCTCATTTGACCCATAACCACCATATATACACACACACTACCTTCGTTTTTTTTTTAACAAATGAATTATTTAAACCCCCCCACACACACACACATATATATATATATTTATATACTAAAAAATTAATATTTATGTATCAGGGTGGAATTTATGACAAAATTACACATCATTCGAACATTATTTTATGATTAATACTACTATATTATTTTTAACTTGTTATAAGTCCATTGGAATATAGGATTAAGTCAAATGATGTCCTTTAAAGAATAAGTTGGTGGGAGTATTGAAACAAAAGGTAAGGGGCATTATTACATTCTACTTGTATAATATAATGAAAAAATGGAACCCAAGGTGGGCAAGGTCTGATATTGTCTAATATGTTGATGGCACGTTATGGTAGATTGGTAGACAACTAATTATCAATACTATTTGTCTCCTTTTTGGATTATGATTGTTCAAATCATATCATTATTAAAGTTTTAGTCTTGCTAATCATATAAATATATAATGATCATAAAACAAGTTTTGGTGGATGGGTAATGCTTTGAAAAATGAAAACTGCATTTATCTAGTGATTGATTATGAATATATAAAAATTCAATTGTACCTGAAATCTATTATTTGCATAAGAGTGTACATACTTTCTTATAATGTAATACTTAATTATAAATCAGGGTCAATGTCTACTACAAGTAATAATCTCAATTTATTCATGAATTTTTGTTTGCAATAATTTAGTGTTTTTCTCAATTATTTTCAAATACTTCATTGTTTCTGTAATAAAACTTTCATTTTAGCTATATGATGGATTACTAGTTCGTTGAAGAGATTATGGAAAGAGATCCTCCTTACACATAGATTAAAAACCTTGTGTCATTATCAATAGGATATTTCTACATTAGTAATTCTGGGTTTGTAACACAACTAAAACTAGGTTACAACCTTTATTATTAGATAATACGAATATGCACATCTCTATTCATTTTAATGGTATATAATAAGTGTGTGACTTTATTGTAATTCATGATTTGTTGTTTGCCCTACCTATGAGTTCTGAAGTTTCAAGAAATATTCCAAGTTGAATATAACAAGATCTCATGTTACTTTACTTTTTCCACTTATAAATCACAAAGTACGAACAAAAGAGTGTGTGAATAGTGTAAAATTCCAAACGTTGCGATTAAAAAAACGGAGGAGATATCCAATATCAAATTATCAATAGAGGTGTTTGAATTCTTTGAAATTGTGTTATTATGTCAAATGGGCTGGGTCAAAAGAGTATATAGACATTTTTGAAGTGTGTGCTTCAACAAATCTAGATATTAATTGCCTCTAGAGATCTTATAACATTCATAACAAAGATATACAAGAAAATCAAATAGTAGCTGATTAGCTGCGTAACATTATATATACATGACACTTTTAGGTGTCAAATACAAAGAATTAGGATTTCACTCAATGAACTAAATTAACTACACAAATCCAAACTCAAATGTAGCTTAAACAAAACATGTAGCTAGAATAATGGATAAATAAACATATATATAGTGGTCACTACGTCTGATAATTCAACATCACTCTTAATTTTTAATTCCCACAAAAAAATAAAGATTACGAAATAGGTAAAAGGGCTAAAGGCGGGTTTCAATCTTACAGATTATAGCTCCAAATCGTGTAGATTGTACATTTTCAAAGTTGTGGTTTCACAAACCAACACCAATTCCACCTAGGGAAAATATCACTCCCACCAGTATTCCTCCCATGAGACCAATCTCCTTGCCATTTCCAAGCTACATCCTTCATTGCCGGCCTCACTTGTTCCTCCATCAACTTCAAGTACTCGACAGGATCACCACCCCTCTTCGAGAACTCGACCACCTTAACCTCCGGCAATACCATAAACACTTCAACACTCACCACCAACCTCCCTCTCCTACCCACTTCTCCACCTTTCAACACCACCCTTGACTCCTTTTCTTTTCTTGCCTCATAATTCAACCCTTCTGCCATCTTCTCCACTTTCTTTAACACTTCTTTAGTCGAACACTTTGTCACGAACAACGACCCAAGTTTCCTCTTTTTATCCTCAAACAGTCCGGACAAGTCTAAACCCGAAGCCATACATAACATGAAGTCAAAGGCATTGAAAGAAGACTCAGGAGAGGAGCAAAACAAACTCGAATCACCTTCATATGATCCACTTAATCCTCTCCTAAACCAAGGACTTGTCATTATCTCCGATATCATTATTCTTTCCTTTGGATTCTTCACCAAAATCTTCTTAATCAAGTCCTTAACTTCCTCAGGAAACCCTAAGGAAAACTCATACTTACAAATCCTAATCTTCCTTAACATTTTCGTTCGACTTTCATCTTGGAAAGGTGGATAACCAGCAAGTATAGCATACAAAATCACCCCACATGACCAAATATCAGACAATTTCCCATCATATTTCTCCCCTCGAATGATCTCCGGCGCCATATAAGCAAATGCACCACAAGCAGTAGATAGTAGAGCATCAGAATTATTCTCTTCTTTCTCTCCAAGATAAGTAGCCAACCCAAAATCACAAATCTTCACATTTTCACCATTTGAGTCTACCATTATGTTTTCTAGCTTAAGGTCACGATGACAAACACCGCGACTATGACAAAAATCAACTGCAGTGATTACCTGTTGGAAGAACTTTCTAGCAATATTTTCGTCGAGTTTACCTCGCAAAACAATCTTAGTGTACAAGTCACCTCCTCCAACATACTCCATGACCAAGTATATTTTAGTCTTTGTTGCCATGACTTCCTTAAGCTCAACAATGTTCGGGTGCTTGACAAGCCTCATAACCGATATTTCCTTCTTGACTTGCTCAAACATACCATGCTTCTTCACTTCATCCTTGTTGATCGTCTTTATGGCAACTATTTCATCTGTTGTAATGTTTTTAGCCTTGTACACTTTTCCGAAATTTCCCTCACCTAATAGCTTTGATAACTGATATTTGCCAAAAAGAACCCTACCTTCCATATTGAAGTGAAATTGTGTATATTTATGTGACACTTTTTTGACATTAAAGCAGTGTGTCCTGTATCCAATGAAACAGGAACACCCTGATTTCCCCTGGGTTTTTTTTCGGGCTATGTGGAAAATTCAGAGAATATTTGATGAAAATTCATGAAATATTATTTGAGATTAATTTAATTATAGGAAGAATTCAATTGGAATACGAATCAACGGTTTGCTGTCTTTTAGCAATTATTTTATGGATTTAGTGTAAAGGGGTTTCAATCATATTACACTGTTTTCCTCTGTTGTTGTCATTTATTTTTATTTTACCTGTTTTTTTTTTTTTAAAAAAAAAGAATATCATTGGACAATTTAATTAACATTTTATGTGCTGTCAATTGTCAAGTAGATGATAGCTTGTAAGAATAAAAGTAATCTGTAAATTGAGTAGTGTTATCTAGTTTTTTATTTTTTTGACCGACAGAAATATGGTAAACTACGAGTATTTCGTAATTATTTGAGAAACAGATAAATAGCTTATATATAAGATTATTATGTTATGTTGCAACTTATTATTGAGCCGTCTTAGCTCAGTGGTAGACCGCGTGGCTTTTAACCACGTGGTCGTGGGTTCGATCCCCACAGACGGCGGTGAACTACTTTTATAATGATTTGATATAATTTCGTCATTTCGTGTCTTTGGAGACCACACTAATATAATCTCCGTATTAACTAAGATATAGAGTAGGACGTATGAAATCAGATACAAAAGTAGGTACAGGTAGAAAACAAGAGTGAGAATTAATGCCTACTCGTATAACTTTACTATTAGGGCATACAAATACGATAAACTATACAGATTAGTTGATAATTTTAGTTGGAAAATACTCGAATTTAATAACTCTTCCTCTCTCTAAAACCCTAGCCCCTCTCTCCTCTTTCCTTTCTCTAAACCCTAGGCTCCATTGTTGAATTTTAGAGGGGCTTCCATCGGTTTATACCGGTAGAAATCCCCAATCGTTGTTTTTGTGTGCTTTTTCTCTTGTTTTAGGTTTATAATAACTCCTCCTCTTCTAGGAGGAACATTTCTCCCTCGAAAAACAGGGTTTTTCTTCTTCTTTGGGAGGATTTGGCTCCTTCGAAAGACCGGGTTTTTCTTCTCTCTTTTGAGGGAGGATTTGCTTTTTTATTTCATGGATTGCTACAAAGTTGTTTCATGGGTAAAACTTTGTGCGGGATCGAAAAAGAGGTTAACCTTTCGATTACAATCTAACAAATCATACGAAAATTTTCTGCACGGCTACCACAGATCGATAGACCCCCTCGATGAAGAAGGATGTAAATCACAGCGATATGAAAGAAGGTATGAAGAATGTACGATATACAACAACAATCGTAGCTTTGCTTATGAATTTTTTTTATTTGATTCGATTATTATGTATTTGTTAAATCTAAATCTGCTTGTAGATGTCGTATGACTTTTATTTATGAATCAATTTTATTTCAAAAAAAAAAATACGATAAACTATACAAGTATATGTTATAAATATCCAATTAACTACTAGCTAGAAAAGCAAAAAGAGTATGAACATCATTACATTAACAAATAAAAATAATTAGTCTTACAAATCATGAAATTAACAAGAAAGTCTTACAAATCATGAAATTAAAAAGAAAGTCTTACAAAATACAAACCATAAAACAAACATAAAAAATGTTTAATAACATCAATCAACAAACATTGAAAATATGCCATGATATGTCTTGAGGTTAATGTAGCCTAATTTGCTGAAGTTAAAGAGTAGAATTTGAATTAAGGTATTAAGTCAATTACAAGTGGGCCGTGTAGTGATGCGGGCTTTATCTTCTTTGTCGGGCAATGTCATTCCACATCCAACTCCCTTGTTCAAGTTAAAGTTCTAGGCTTCTGACTTTCTTCTTTCTTTGCAATTGAAAACATTTTTTTTTTAGTTGTTTAGAGAGCCACAGGGGCGGGTGAGAATCGATCTCAAGATTTTCTAGAATCGGGAAGAAAGCTCTAACCACTTGAGCTATGAAAACTGTGATTTTGTTCTTAATTTATGGAAAAATAATTATAAAACCATGATACGTGGCATATTAATCAATATTAAATACGATGTTTTTATGGTCTACACAATTTTAATTTTGAGACATTATCTACTTTATTTAAATTTTGAAAAACATAACATGAAGTACAGTTTTATGATCCCTCTTATCTGGAGTATACATTCACTATTTTCTTTTCTTTCTCTTTTTTTTTTTTTTTTTCCTTCTTTCTTCTTCCTTCTTTTTGTTACACTCGCCTACCTTTATATTTCATCTATACTGTATTATTTAGGCCTTGTTTGGTTGCACCTATTTTATGTAGGCACTCAAAATTCTTAGGAATTACACTAATGGTGTGTTGTTTGGTTAAACAAAAAAGTGCAAAATGAAGGAAATACCGAATTAGAATTTCTAGGAATTTCAATTTCCCACATAATGTGGGAATTCATTTACCCACCTCCTCCTAGGTCATTCAAACTTTCTAGGAATTGTAATTTCTCTAATGCTAACCGAACAAACTAAAGCAATTTTCTAGGAATTTGAGGGACATAATTTCCCATAAATTGTAAATTACCATGGGAAGTTAATTCCCATCGTTTAAATAGAGAATCACAAATTTTAGGATGAGTTTTACTAACAGTAGGCATTATCATTTTGCTTATAGTTTCATATGATGCTATTACACTAATACTGTAAGCCGCTAAATAAGTTGTTCATTATTATATCATCAAAACCTGCAATAATAACAGTACAAAGTTGACATTACAGCATTTAATTACCACACATGAAAAGCAAAAAACATAACCCTATAGCAAAAGAAACCAGTTTATTCAAAACATGAAGTCCAGATTACTCGGTATAGCATCAATCATGTTGTAAACCACTCACATAAGCTAAGAGCTCAATTCAATTCCTACCTATACAACAATACTATTCCCTCCGTCACACAATACAAAGCCTATTTGAGTTTTTTTCATGAGAATTAAGGAAATTATAGATTACTTAAAACTAATGATTGAAAGTACATATGTGCATCAGTGCTTGTGGGTTAGAGAGAGATGGAGAAAGAAAAAGTAGTTGGAAACTATTGAAGAGAGAAAGAAAAAGTGTCGGGAATTGATGTCTAAAGACATAATTAGTACAAAAAGAAAAAGAAAAAATATAACTAAACTCATCAAAAAAAAAATGGTAATATTCTCAAAAAGTACTACCTTTAAATATAAATAGACTTTGTATTTTGGCTTACCCAATAAGGAATACAGGCTTTGTATATTGTAACGAAGGGAGTACTATACATAAGAAATGTGCCATAAACAATATTGACTAGACCTTTTTTTTTTTTTTTTTTTTTTTTTTTTTTGAATCATAAGGGCATTATAAATAGAGGGGCTAGGAGAGATTCAAACTTGTGACGTATTCTACACTAGCTCTCAATCTTATAATTTATAAAGATTTTTCAATATATCCTTTTCTTTCAAATGATAACCTAATACTCTTTCGAGAAAAATGAATTACATAGACTTTAAGTCGGAGCTAGGTAGAATAAATAAGTCAAACTTTAGTGTATGCTTTACTGTTTAAGTCTCTTTCCTTTCGAGTCATTTAATATTGCAACTTATATAAATCATAAAATTGGTCCTAAGCTATCTCAATCGTAAATAGTTTCACCCCCAAAAATAAATATGGAAAATTCTTTCCATTTTAAGTTGTTTGGGTGGCTGGTGTTTAAAGCTATTTAAAGGACCATGTCGGCACTCGGCAGTGTCCAACACTTGGATTCTTCAAGGTTTTAATGCATGTTTCAAATTTCAATCCAACACTTCGGCTCCCAAACAATAATATTTGAGACACTTATCTTACCAATTAGCTGTATAATTTATGTTTCCATTTTAGTGTCTCAATGTCCGAGTCTTTGCATGTAATGTCAGATGATTATAGGGACAAAAATAATTCATTGCTAAAAAGAGTAAGGGGTATAAGGAAAGAAAGAGAGAGAAAAGAAAGGCAAAAAGTAGGTTATGTTGTGATGTGTATGAAGGTCGTATTTTATTCACCTTTTATAAGATCTGATAAGATAAGTCAAAAAAAAAAATTCAAATAAATATAAGAGTTTATAAGGACTACCCAAGAAAATAAGTTCTTACAGTAGATGAATGTTAGATAGGTTTCTCTATATTAACATTACAATGTCCTTTAAAGATACCTGTGCTTTCGCTAAGTATTGGTACATATCCGTGCAATATGAACCAACACATATCATGGTAATTTTGTAAATAATACGAACTTTGTAAGTAAAGATATCATCAAGTAAATAAATATATAGCACCATTAGATAGTGTTATGGTAGTATAATACCTTCTGATGGTATAAATATGTCATATTATTGTTTTAGTACTGTAATATATATAGAGTTTTATGGACTAAGTAAATATCAAAAATACTAATAGTATACAAAATATACTAATTAAATTTAAAATTTTACAGAAAATGACCAAAACACCAGTATACAAAATATACTAATTAAATTTAAAATTTCACAGAAAATGACCAAAACACCTGTATTATCGTGTTGTATGATGCTCATACAACATGGATATATACCTTAATACCTAGACCGACTCATGTGCTTTTAGTATAGATTGAGTTTCAAATCAAATCATTGGTTCAGATGGTTTAGGTTTTAGGAAAATCAAACCCTTTCACCTCGAGTCTACCAAGTACTCATTTAGGACCACAAAACCTATAAAGTATAGGACACCATACAATTAATAAAGAAAAGAAACAACCCTTTTCTTGAAGGACCACGAAATATGATAAGAGCCTACAACCTAGAGAATTAAATTAAGATAAGCACACAGTTTCCTGTATTGAATATACTCGTATATGGACCATTATTATGTTTATGTTATTTATTTATGTGAATTGTTACCTTTGTTTTTTTAAGGTAATCCTATATGTAGTCTTTACGCTTATGAATAAGTATTTAGTATCTTTTCTATTATGGTATTAATTTAGGAATGCATGACCAAAGTACGCGTAAATCAGTGTAATTAATGTTATATTTTCATTTATTTTTTTCCGTTTTTAGCTCCTTATATGTAGCCCTTAGGGCTATGTATAGCATTTTCTTTTTTTTATAAAACAAAAAATTGATTTGAAATAGTTTATGCGTTTCTGACTGCTGATTGGCCTCTCAATATTACCGAAAGCCACCTTTGTAAAGTGCCATTGTACCTAAGACATGTCCCAAACATGCAGACAATTACTATTCACTCCTTTAATTAATTTTAATTATGATTAAGCAATCCATTTTTAAATTTAGCTAACCCTAATCAATTATCAATGCACTCACTTAAAAAGGTGACTCCTTTTGGCCCTCTCTTTCCACTAGACAAGGTCTCAGTTGACACCCCCTTGCTCTCCCATTTGCAATTGCAAGGGATAAAAATATATATATATATACTTGCTTGTATAAAAATATACGAAATACTTTTCAGTTTAGTGTATTTTCACATTGCTTTAATTCTCTTTTTAACCAAATTTTTATGTCTCCTTTGTGGTCTAAAGTTGAATCTTGAACCAAGGGCGATGGTAGATCGAATTAGGTTTCTGTGGACCACTTTGTCTTAATTTTATCGCCCAAAGGCTAATTGCATAATATTTCATCCAAAATGGTGATTAGATGGTAAGTATAGCTTAGCTTTCATTCCATGTAGGCAAGTATACCAAATAAGAAGAAACACATAATAATTGTTGGATCATTCCTTCCTTATTCACTAATCACTACTAATCTTAATTATGGTATTTTGAAAAGAAAAAAAAAAAAAAACCATCATAAATATTACTTGTACTAATATTTGACAAATTTAATTTTTCGAACATCAAAACTAGTAAGAGTATTTTTTGGATATCTACATATTCCATCTTTAATAGGGTACAAAGTAAAATATAATATAATATACTCCTTACAACTTTAATTTGAGGACCAAGCTAAGGCCACAACTTGGCTAAACCTGGTGATTAAGGGGTTGGTCCCCTACTTGCGAAGAGTATTAAACCGTAAATTAACTCTCACAAATCAACTTGGTTAAGGAGGTGATTAAGATGTACTTGTGCGCTCACCCACTAATGTCATGAAAAATTTGAGAGCAACAAATAAATTATTTCTATAGAAAATCTATACCTCTGTACTTCATACCTCTTGACTCGTGAGATAAGGCATCTTCCTTTTTTAATTCTTTCGCAAACAAAAGTTTCATAGCAATAACTCAATTTTGCTAAATACTTATTAGCTAATATGGAAAAAGTTGGTTTTAATAATCAACTTTCACCGATTTTCTTTAAATAATCCCAACTTTTGATTATTGTGGAATAATCCCAATCAACTTATATAGGTATCTTCCTAAAATAATTCGACGTGTAATTTTTGTTGCTTTTACTGATCCCTTTTGGGACTATTATATATGACAAAAATAAAAGTTCAAATTATTATAAGAAATACCTATATAAGTTGAGATTATTCCAAATTAATCAAAAGTTGGGATTATTTAAAGAAAATCGGTCAAAATTGTGATTATTAAAACCAACTTTTTCATATCTAAAACTTAACAATTTAAATTAGAAAGTCTTTACCAATCCCATATAAAATAAATTAAAACTACCTTATTTCCGATCAATAATATATAAAAAGAAATTTAAAAAAAAAATGAAAAGGGTAGGGCAAAAATGGAGGAGTGATAACAAGAAAGGGATATTTTTAAATTAAAAGAACAAACACTACTTTTCTTATCGTTAAAAAAAATAAAGCACTATTTAAAAAAAATTAGAAAATTAATAAAATATAAAATCATAGGAAGGGAGGGCAAAAATGGAAAAGTGATAAAAAAAAGGGGTAAAATAGTCTATCATAATTCATACTTCCTCCGTTTTTTTTAGTTGACATCATTTGATTTTTACACTATTCACAAATTACACTTTGACTAGCTTTTGTGATTTATAGCTACGATAAAACATAGTCATTTAGGAACTTATTTGGATCGTCTCAAGGTATATTTTATTAATATGCACTTTTTATAATTTTACAATATTGATAATTAGAGATATTTCTTTCAAAAAAAAAGATAATTAAAGATATTAATCGTTAAAATAATACATAAACAAGATTGATAATAGTTTAATCGTTAAAAGTTGGCAAAATTGATAATAGAAATGTATCAACTTAAAAAAAAACAAAGGTAATATTAAATACTGACTTTCCATTTTCATTTTTATATAGAGTATAGATATGGTGTGTTTATTGTATTAATTGTAAATATATACGACTCATGCATGTACCACCATATGCTTTACACAAGGGCATCCTCCTCGCTATTGACCAAGGCATAAAAACATACATATTGAAGGCAACAATGTCATGGTTATCAACTTAGTTAAAGGTTTATGGACAGCCCTGTGACATTGTTGCGGATATATATGTCCAGTTAATTTTGACATTAAAAAATAAATCAAAATTAGCCAAAAAAAAAATAGTATAATAGTAATTATTTTTAGAATGACTACCATATAATCATCCCTCAAAAGAAACCTCAATGTCAAGTTGCTAGATAAAAACCGTAGGTCATTCTCGGTGTTAGATTTTTTGAAACTCCTTAAATTGGAGTGTATTTTAATGATCTTTATTTATTTGGTTACAAACTTACAATAATACTAGTTCAATGTTAGAAACTTAATATGATCAGGTAGGAAATATTACATAAAAACATATCTTAAACCTATGATAAAGACTTATCGTTCTATATTCTCTATCAATCGGCTCAGAAATAATGGGCACGCAGAGCATCATGACACAACACAACACGGTCCATGGCCAAAAAAAATAAAAATGACATGAGTCGAGCACAAATCATACCATAGGTTAGAGGTTACCATGGCCTGGCATGACAGGCCCTTGGGCGTCGCCAATACACTATACATACATCAACTCAGCAAGACAAGAAAATTAAATACACACCTATCTTGATCTATAAGACTATATTCAATAATAGTTAGACGTGAATTGACCAATTAATTTGTCAAAATAACTATATGTTGTGTATCACCATAAACCACATGGACGACTAAGACTTGACAGCATTGAGTGTTCCATGACACATTTTATAATAGAGTAAAGTAACAGACTGTAAAACAAATAGTAGAGATAGCAGAATACTAGCTACATTTTATACTCCCAAAAAATAAAAAGATAGAACTGAAGATAATTCAAACCAAATTAAGTTTTACTTCACTTCCAGAAAACAAGGAGAGAAAAAAATGAGTGAAAAAGAAAGAAACTTGACCGTTTCTGGCACACACAATTTCTTCAAGTACACTGATGAAAACAACAAAATCCATCTGATATCTGGTTCTCACAGGTATGTGTACGGTGTACCCCTCCTTTAAGTCTCAAATTGTTTGAAGAAAAAGTGTGTCTAATGTCAATACAAGTTATTGGAGTTGTAAAGGTAAGTTCAATATATACAAAACAAACTCTTATTTTATATAAGAATCACACACAGTAAAGCAAAAGACATTACTATGAAAAAAAATTTAGCTCAACATAAAGAATAATTATGGGCAGAATTCAAATAGAACATTGTATTACTTATATATGAGCAGAATTCAAATATAATATACAGATCAAATCTAGACAGTTTCTAATTGCCTTGTACTATAAGAGAATACGAGCTGAGCTCAATCTAATATGTGTTTTCTATCTGAATGTTGGAGTCATAGATGAATGAAGAAGAAGAAGAAGAAGAAGAAGACACACTTAATAGAGCTACATTTTGAAGTTCCACCACATATTTAGCAACTAAGTGCTAGACCTTTATCGGTTTATCCTCTACTCGGTAGCCCCAGCTTGAGAGTTAGAAGACAAGATACAAAAGTGGCTAATTCAAGTTAGAAAAACAAATGATTTCTCGCTCTAGTGGGGATATCAACAACTAAAAGAAACAGTCAGATACATACTTCTAGTAAACTTACAATAGGCCAGGCAAATTTAAGAAGTCACAAATCACCCTAGCTAAAGAAAAACAACATTCCAATTGTGATCATTAGAATGGGCAATATTGACAAGTCGACCACTAAAAGAAATAGCTATAGTGCCTTATCCAGTATCCACTGCTTACGAAAAGATATGGTGTTGCACACACTAAAAGACCAAATTAAAATGGCACGATCGAAGCACGGCTCTCTTTACGCCATATATGTTACTTGAAACAACACCCAACCCAGCCAAGAAGATGACTTAACCCCACTAGTAGAAGGTAACGACCTAACACCAGCTAGTGGTGTAATGTTTTAATGTCCCATATCTTCACAAATAAAAGTCACCACACACAACAAATAGAATAAATAAATTAAATTAAAAAAAGCAGTATTAAAAAATACAAGGGCCCTTTTTCAGAAACAAAAAAAAAATACAAGGGCCCACTTTTTTATTAATAAATATTTAGGTTGGTTAGTTGGCAATGTTGCATGCCCACTAATTTTCTTTTTTTTTTTTTTTTTTGGATCAAGGTAGAGAAGATTATTAACCATCAAAATCAAGAAAACAATATACAACTACGTCTCAAGAAACATAGGAGACCAACTTCCACAATCAAATTTTGACCAAATAAAAAATTAAATAAAAAAAAACCTTATCTTATCCCTTCAATCGTAACAATATCCGGGAGAATATCCAACTAGAGTATGTCTATTTGGTAGGCTAGGGCAATCAATTTTAACGGGGCATCTTACCGATTTTAATGGAGCTATTAGTTTAAGGAACTGATGCTTTTTTACTTAATGGAATCTAATAGTGTGTTTTCCTAGCTAATTATCATATAATCAACTAATTTATCTTGAGCTCCAAGAGCCATCTCTACCATAAGATCTGTTGCAATCCCAATATTTAGGCAGGTTATAAAAACATAAGGCTTTGTCTCAATGGTCATTGTGTTTGTGGTTCGAGTAATTTAAAATACACAGTAAGTCTTACCATGGATCTATTTCATTGTGCATGATTCTGTTTCGAGTAATTTTAAAATCATAACACACTCTTTCATAGCAACAGAGAATATACCAAACAAGAACTTTGGGAGAATGAAAACCTCCTATTTGGTTAAGCAAACCTGCAAAAAGGACCAAATAGGTTAAGCAACAATAAGTTAAGCAGCCTGTAAAAAGAACCAAAACTCCTAGGTAATATTTATCCGGAGGTAAGGAGACTTAGACCTGTAATCAGGAGTCTCTAGCTTGCATAAGCTCATTTAACAACTAACAAGGCAATTGTGAAGAATAATAATACCATGTCAAAACCTTTTCTCACTTTCTGGAGGCATATATATCTAACACCCTTGCTGCATAATTCAATCAAAAGCAACATTAGGAATTTAAGATAAAGCTCTTATTAACCAATTTTAAGATAATGGAATGTGGAAGTCTAGCAAATTAAATGAAACAATGTTTGACTGAAATATTAAGGAAACAGAACCAAATTTACTTGGTCATGTCATAGCCTCATAGGGCATGGCCTTCAAACAAAAGGTGAGTAATCTGATCTATTTGTAAGCCAATAAGCCATGAATATAAACTACAGAAAGAGTCCGCTAACGGTAGTTCATAATAGTTATCGCCCTAATACATAATCATAGCTCGCAGGCAACGTGATCACTCATTTAGGAAAACAAAATTAAAAATGGATAACAAAGAAACTATCCAGATGGCACAATTTACGCAAACATCATGACTTGCAAAAACAGAAAAAGTTAACAGGATCTCAATGAGTAGTATACCAACAGTCATGCAGCCATATCATCAAAAATGAATAAATTTATGGGACGCCCTAACCATTGCTAAATGAATTGATTACACAGCATAATCAAAATCTTAGTGGCATAGTAGTGGAAATTAAGTATCTTAAGCTTTGTAATCCACTAATAAAGCACCAATAATAAAATAACAAAATGTGATCAAAGCAGTCACTTCCTTAAAAAGAACAATGTTGCACTATATTACTCGGACTCTTCATTTCACCTCACGTACCTGTGTCGGATCCTCGATACTCGGACATGGGTATGACACTCGGACACTTCACTTTTAGTTCAAAATCATAGAATTTTTTCACAAAATAGCTGAGTCGCACGCTTGGACACATACCTGTGTCGGACATGGGTACCTGAGTCCAAGCAACATAGATGGTGCAATAGTACAAGCGTACCTTCATTAAAGGGATACGAAATTTATTAGAATATGGAAGAAAGAGCACCTAGTCCCAAATGGCATATAGCTGTAGTAAGTTCAAAATAAAGAAGCAAAAACAAAACACGGAGTAGTAAACAAACATAGCTAAATTAATCATCCAATTATGATACAAAAATAGGGGGCTTAAAATACATTCCCAGAACACCATAAGAGAGGGAAGAATAAAAATTCATCCACCACCACATATTCTATTCATTGGCTCTCAAAAATAATGTCAAGTGGATACTAATTAAGAGTTGAAAAGGGGAAAGAACAGAAAGCACATAAAACTACGTCATGCCACTTCTATTTGCATTCTTTCACAATATAATCAGCCATTAAATCTCGCATTGCTAGGGAAACTTAGCTAAGGCCTAGCGGCTGATAGAAGCAACAAACTACATCCTTGTACATCAAACAGAAGAACTGCCAACTACAAACAGCCAATTGAACCAACAACCAGCAAAGCCGCATCTATATCTACTTCTCAGTATGAGCACCAACATGTTCTACTGAAAAAACCAATATTTTGTATTCGACAGCAAGACTAAATTCTTCATTCAACATATCATTGACTAAACTTTAACCTAAGGTTTAAAATTCCTAAGAATAAAGCCTTAAATTGTATACCTCACCAGAATACTGTAAGGATTGAGATCAAATTAGCCTCACAATACCACCATTCAAATTAACGAGCTATCAACATGACCAAAAGCCTAATCTATTTGAGCTAACACTTTCATCCAATAAGGCCTACACATAAACAATGAAGGCTCCCTAATACACAAAATAGGAAGCTTAATTATATTCACAGCTAGTTTTCATTCTAATATACCGCTACACCTTACAACTGTGTTAAATGATGCCATTATGAATAATGAAGCCTTTACCCACCATCCTTTTTTAAAAGCAAGCTAATTGTAGTTACTAACATATGCATTGGAGTTAGTTAGAACAAGATTACCTTTCAAATTTTCCTAAAACTTGCCCTTAAAGATGAAATGTTTGTCATCAATCCTTCCTCTAAGCACAAATGCAAATCTAAATTGTCAAATAAACACTAACTAACCAAACTTCTCCAAAATTGATTCCTAAGACTAATTTTCCTAAGACTAATGTTCTCCAAAATTTCAAGCCCTAGTCTATGTACTTTTAGAAGGTTATGGATAACCAATTGACAACCTCCAATTATGATAAATTCAATAAACTCCTGCCAGTTATCGATTTAAATAAAAAGGAAGGGAAGTTCATTCATCAAAGAAATCAATCTCCAATAATCTTGCATCATTATGCACAATTAAATTATCAAAGAAATCCATCACATAAATCTTTCAGCCTGAATAAATCTTATAAAAATCCAAAATGAGTTACAGGCTGAAATGAATGTCAATTAGCAGAAAAACACCTCAAAGGATCTGATCTGTATAAGGAAACAAATTTCTCATGACCTTCCCCACCAGTAAAAGAAAAGAGAAAAGAAGAATAAAAGGTTCTAAAGTAAACAGACAGCATAATCAGAATCCTTTTGTGATTTTCCTTTCTCTAATATAACAACATAAAGAGAAAACTTTCCTTAATTGTGTTCCTTTAAACTCTAAAAACAGCCTTCCTAAAATGTATCAAACCAAAATATTTTGCATACAATCATTTAAAGCTAAGGAAGCTTCAAAAGAAAGCACCTAATTAAGCACAAACCAAAAGTATAATATAGTATAAGGAATAAATAATATCATACTCATTCACCATTTATACTCTTTCTGTCCAGAATATTCACTATTCATGTATTAGCTTTGACCGTAATTTTTTACTAACATAATAAAAACATATTTTATCATAAAATATGTTGTTAATTAGGCATTAATATAAGTTTTATAATATAATTTTAAAAATAATTTTCATTAATATTTAATTATATAAATATAAAGTCAAACTAGTGCATTGGCATGTGTGCAAAGTTAATTGTATTAGACATTCTGGGACAGAGGGAGTACTAAAAGCTCTAAGTTTGATTTTACTCCTTGTGAGCTTGTTTTCTCAACTCTAAATTTACAACTCGGTCAAAAAATACTACTCCTTTTTATGTCTACCCTTGATTCCATCAAGCCCAATGACGTACTAAACAACAAGGTTGCTTGGAGAAAAAAAGGATGTTAATCAAACGAACATGGGAAAACAGCAATCCAATGATGGAGAGCACAAATAAGTTTTGTCTGTAGGAGTTTAGGAAGATAAAAAGGGTTGAAGGAAAGACCTGCCAAACATGATTTTGCTTAATAATATCAAAACTCTATATTGAATCGTTTATATATAGTTGCATGCAAATTTTCTAGTATATACTATGTATAATACTTTATACAGCTGTATGTTCAAGAAAAAAAATGAATCAAAGAATTTAAAATTTATACTTGTAGTATTTCAATACACCAAATATATTATACCAGTGTGTGTATATATATATATATATATATATATATATATATATATATATATATATATATATATATATATATATATATATATATATACACACACACACTGGTATAATATATGTGTTGTCTAGGAGAAAATGCTTCATCACAAAACATCTATACTACCTAATCAAACAAACTAGGTTATTCATTCAATCATTTAAATTAGCCAGCGTCAAATGAAGGCAGCTTATTTGATATAAATCTAAATAACAACAATAAACACATGACAATTAAGAGACAAAGAAAAAAATGCACCATCAGGCAAGCTGTAAAGTCTGGCCTATAACTATCAATCACATGAAGAATTACTAGTAGTAGAAAGAGTATGCCTATATCCACGTACCTGCTGAAGCAATTAGCACTCTTAAGGGCCACATAATTATATTCAAGTGTTCTCAAAATGATGTTCACCTTCATTTGTTTTCACATCAGCAAAAGAAAGGAGCTGAGGAATCGTCTTTGACAAGTACATTGTCTGCAAGAAATTAACACATGATTTTTTGTTAACCAATTAGTCCCGCTAATAGTGATTGGTAGTTGGAAAGCATGTCATGTCTTTCTTTCAATATACCAGATAGACAAACGCTAATAATTCCCCAAAATAATATCCAATCATCAAACAACCACAAGTTCATATGCAATAGTGCAAGTGGAAACTTTGGTCTATCACCACAACTAATGAGACACTAAATTAAGCTAGCTAGTTTTAAAAACAATAGAGCTGTCGAGTTTTAAATGCATGTTATATACACGACTCCAATCAAATTAAAGCACCACAGAGTTGATCAGATATCATATGATAATGACACACAGCAGCCGAAAGTGCAATACATAATCAACATTGGAAACAGTTAGGTAACGATAAGAATTTGGTTTTAAATTAGGAAAAGTCTGAGCCACAAGACAATCACCTCTCCCAAATGTAAAATACTCCACTAATAATTACATTTTAAACATTAGATAACTTCAAAATCTATTACTATCCACACATAAGATATAGCGCGATCAAAAAACAATTAACATTTGTAGCAATATATATTCATGAATTAATACATTGCTTAAATTCTAAATAAAAATAATAAAGAAGGAATTGTAGATTCTTGAATACATACATACCAATGATTCGATTCGAGTATGATTAATTCAATTTCTGGTGTTCCATATAAATGGTGAGCTGCAAATACGAACAAATTGTTGCAACAAACAAGTTGGAAGTGAGAGACAGATGATCATGTCAGCTTGTCCTCAAAAGAAGCCATGGATGGACTCAGACGAATCGACGGGTACCAACACGGGCACGGGCACGGCCGTGAACCAATGTACGGGGACCATAGAAACGATATGATCCATGCGCAACCAACAACATAGAAACGAATCAAGCAAAGAAAAAAAAAAAAACAAGGTAACCTAATAATGTGAATTAGGTAGGCTATATGAAGCTGATTAGCATGGTCCTGTACTGTATAAAGTGATTAGTTTAAAAATCCCACTCAAAAGTCACGCTATATATTGGAATTTGCAAAAATAGTTTTACTAAAACAACAAACTATTTTATCAAAATAAAAAATAAGGGAAAAGAAAAACATACCGATATAGTGTTATTAGTAATCAATAGTAATTTTTAGGATGAAGCTCTAACCACTTGAGCTATCCCTCACCCTCGTAATCGATAATAATGATGAGAAGGGTTAAGTTGCGTATGAACATATAATGGATAGGGGTTCGGGTGGGGTTGGAGTTGGAAGGGAAGCTGACAGAAAGAGCAGTGAGCACAAAAAAGGAATAGTATACCAATAATCTTCAACCCCAACTCTATGTTTCGATCTTTGGAAATTAAATGTATGATTTCTGGTGTTGGTTTGGGTTTGCTATGTATACCATTTCTGCCTTTCTGTGCTCACTCTCTTCTGTCAATTTCTCACTCCTCCCACCCATTTGTAAAAAAACGACTTACCAAATTGGGTAATATTTCAGTACCCACTGAATTTTTGCAAAAACAAGGGTTTCCTGTCTTTCTTTCAGATCTGCAACTGTACTAGTTTCCAGGTTTTTTATTTTCACATCTTTAGGGTTTTTCTTTTTTGGGTATTTGTGAAAATTCAACAACAAAAAAAGAAAATTAAAATCTCAGATTAAAATTTAGATACAAAGACATGCAGAAAAGAATCAAGGGGATAAAAATGTTAAATCGAACAGTGCGAAAACCGGGAATGCAAGAATTTTTTTTAAAAAAAAAAAAAAGACTCAAGAATCAGATACAATTTTTTTAAGAGAGAGAAAGGGAAAGAGATAAGTAAGTTGGTTGTGGGTTGTGTTGATGGGTTTGATTTAAGTTTTTGTTTAGGGGAGGTGTGTGTGTGTGTGTGGTGGGGGGTTTAAGCTTATTATTTTAGAGGAGAGAAAAAGTAAAGATGTTTGTTTTTGTGGGTTGGAAATTTGGGATGTGGCCAAACTGGGCATGTGGATATGTGTGGGTCTTCTCTTTATGTTCCTTGTCATTTCTTTATTTATTTATTTTTTTTGTTTTTTTGGTTTTTTGGTTGGAGAAGACTCAAGATTTTAAACTTATATATGAGGTCAATGGTAATAGATGAACGTTTTGGTTTACATGTTTCTTACTTTAACTTTATTACTTTGATTTTTAGAGGCTGGGGATTTTTATTATACATACAGTCATACTCGTATAGACATGGATCTATACACTTCAAACCTTAAATCATGTTATGCTCATTGATCATATACATACAGTCATACTCGTATAGACATGGATCTATACAGTCATACTAATTCATGTTATGCTCATTGATCATATCGTCTTAGCCTTAAATCCTCCCATTTACTCCAAGTGTTAAGGCTTGAATGCCACTCATTTGAATAGATTATAAATGGTCATTGTAAAGGATGGTCTTGTTATTCATTACACTCCTTTTAATACATTATTGATGGTGATATCTATCTACTATTTTACTTTAGGGGGTAATATGTTTTTTAATTTCGTAAAAAAACGTGTGGTAAGTTCAACAAAGGGAGATTCGAGGGGTGGTTATTTACAAAATTTTCCTAAAATTATTTTTACTAAATCGGTAAGTTCAACAAAGATTGCTACCGGAATGTGTTAGATCAAACATAGCTTGTATGGCCACCGCATCTGCTTCCTTGACTAAATCCCTGGACCTCTTGCACAGCCTTCCCCTTGGTGTCTTACTTAGTAGGTCCATGCTGCAAAACAAGTAGTGATTTCCCATTTCATCAACGGCCTGGTTAGTTTTGTTGAGGCCTAAAACAACCCTTAAACAGTCTATATCTAATACTCTAGTAATATTAAGACTCCAATGATACTATAGTATATATTTTTCAAACATTACATACCTACGTTTTTTAAATTAAAGATTATTGTTTATGTTTGATTAAATGTTACATATATCAAGTATTAAGACATTATCTTAACGACGAAAATAGGAATATTTGCTTTAGAAATATGTAAATATTTTGGTAATAGGGATTGTTGCATTGGACATAGATATGTATTAGGGAAAAAAAATATGTAAAAAGATTTATTTTAATATAGGAAATGAATGAAACATGACCAACATAACTATCTTTTAGAAGTACCCTTTGTTTTATAATAAGTGTGTAGACCATGTTCTCTTCACCTTATTTTTGCAGAAATGAAATAATTTTTACTGATTCTCTATTATATTTCCTCTTTAAAGTTACTAATATTTATTGAACTAAAATTATTTTAACTGAACGAATTTTATTTTTACTGAAATGAAATTTTTATTACTGGACTAAACATAAATCTATTAAACTGAACCGATTTTTTACTGAAATGGGTCTTATCTCAACTGACTAAATAAATGTATTTTAAAAATGAAGAAAATAGGGCTTTGATTTCTCTTGGACACATACGCCGATGCAAATTTTGACCAATAATATTTTTAAGTATTACCGTGATAATCATAAATTATAACAATTAATTGAAAATTAATAATCTATTTATTGAGTTGATTTCAACAAATACCCCATGACTCAATCTTTTCTTATGTATAAATCACAACATTAGTTAACCTAGGTCAAATAAATTGTATAAAAAAATGGATCACTTATATCAAAAATCGAAGAATTTAGGATGTGTTCTCTTCACCTTATTGGAGTTGAATTTAACTGAACTTTTTAGATTGTTAAATTACTTATCAAACCTTATTGAACTTTATTATACATTACTTAACCTATTAGATCTGATTGAACTTATTAAAATTTATTGGACCTTATTAGATCTTATTATTAGACCTTATTTAACTTATTAAAACTTATTAAACTTTATTTAACTTATTAAACTTTAAGAGAATAAGCCCTTAATACACACCAAAAAAAAAAAAAAAGCATTGAAAATTAACATTTCATGTAATTGGCCTATATGTCCCGAAAATCAAAAAGAAAGAAAGAAGGGAAAAAAAAAAAAAGAATGGTTAAAAATTCTTAAAATAGATAAGCGGGTCAAAACTCAAAAGGTAGGAAAAGCAGAAGTTATCAGTTATCAGTAATTCAGTACAGTAGTGTTAATTAATTAGAGACGTCGACATTGTCAAAATTGGTACGACCGCTCCATTTGACCAATCATAATACAAGATTAGGAGCGCACTGATGACGTGACACCTTTTTATTGGCTACATTTTGTTCAGGTGTACACTGATGTAGATGTGCATCACATAAAAAAGGACACTTGCTTTTTTCACCATCTTTATTACGGACTACGAGTGCGTTTTTTTTTTTTTTTTTTTTTTTTTGAAAAAAAATTCAATTTTGTGTGTTTTTTTGCTGGCAGTAGTATTTTTTTCTTCTTCTTTTACTAAAGCAGCAGTAGCGTGTTGTTTGCAGCCTTTGTATTTTGCTCACCACAACCATTTTATTCTTTAATTTTGCCCTTTTTAGTAAGATTGACGATTGCCTGTTTGATTGATTGTACATTTGTACTCCTTCACAATTGTTGTTAAGGGTGTAAACAAGTCTAGCAACTAGTTTAGGGCTTGTACCGTTGTACGTTAGTTATTAATATGAAAATTAATGTAGATCATCAAATTACCTTTTTTTTTTTTGAAAGAAGATCATCAAATTACTTGTTGTATCTATTGTGAACTGAATTCATATTTTTCAAAATAAAAAATGTCCATGTGATGCAATCAAAAAGTAGTAATTATTGCTCCAAAAGTTATATACATTAATTATTTTGCATAACGCAATAAAGTGACGATGGAATTCACATATTTGAAGATAAGATAAGTGGTTACAAGTTGGTTTGAGAAAACACAAAAGTAATTGAAGCACAATTGGACTTGCGACCAAAATGTTACATTGGCTAATAAGAGCAAACACATGAAACAAACTAATTAACTAACAGATTAAGTGAACCAACTTACAATTATCTAATTTAATCCCAATTTACATAGTAAGATAAATTCAAACACAATAAATTTCACACTTAGGCCTTGTGCACTTTACCCAAGAGAAAGAATTTAACACTTTTCTTCTTCCTTCTTCTTTTTTTTTTTTTTTTTATTTTTTTTTTGGTTGGCAAAGAGAAGGGTCCTTGGTAAAGAGAAAGGAGTCCTATCGGGCCAAAACCTCTCACTGATCCTTCCAACTTGGGTTAGTGGCTACTAGGCTAGGCATTTTGAAAGTGGGGCGGGGGAGGGGGGGGGAGGGAAGGGTAAGAGCATCCTCACCCTAAAAAGTAGCTCTTCTAGAAGGGTTTGATCCCACAACCTCAAGGTTGTGAAATGCAAATCTTACCACTATAGCTTGGTATACAAAGCTCCCAATGCACATATGCATTACTAACATACATTATTCAACTACTACAAAGTTACAAACAGTTACAAGTAATTGGTTTTTTGGCAAGCTTGGGCATCTAAAGTCTTCACATGATTGCTAGGTTAGCTATTATTAGACTTGGCAAACGGGTCATTCGGGTCGGGTATGGGTTAGGTCATTACTGGTCGGGTTAAATTCGGGTTAGCAAATGTTCGGGTCGGGTTTGTGTCGGATTGGGTCATTTCGGGTTTTGGGTCAATAGATTATCAGGTCAGGTCGAGTATCGGGTCTATACTTCGGGTCAACTTTGGGTCGGTTCGGGTCAATTCGAGTCGGGTTAGTTTTCAAGTCCATATATCGGGTCAAGTTTGGGTTGGGTCAAGATTGGTCGGGTCAAGTTCGGGTCGGGTCGATTTTGGGTCGGTTCATTTCGGGTCGATACTTTGAGTCAAGCAATTAAGCTTAAATTAAGAGATTTGTAATTTTTATACAGATTAATTATTAGTTTTTTTTTATAGGAAATATAGTTGTTTGTGTTAATATCATTGTTATTGTTGTCATCATTATTACAAGAATATTGTAACATTAATTATTATTATTATTATTATTATTATTATTATTATTATTATTATTATTATTATTATCTATAATACTCCCTTTGTTTTTATTTATGTACTCCATTTTCATTGGACACTTATGCAATAATGCAGGTGCGTGCAAAACTTTGACAAATAATATTTTATAATTATCAATAAGTATACAAATAAAACAGTTGAATCTTAACAAACTATTCAATGTGACAATCTCATTATCTCAATAAGTACTTACAAAGTAGAGTTTAGTAGACTACATTTTTTCTTATGAGTAAATCACTAACATTGATTATAAACTCAAATTATAATAGAGTATGAAATCCCAAATTAGATGTTAAAAAAAAAAAAAAAAAAAAAAGTCTCAGTTAAGCACCTAAAAAAAGAAAAGTGAGTAACAATAACAATAAGCGACTAAGCGTCAGTTCCTAATTAAGTGGAACTCTTTATGAATTACAAAATTACATGTTATGTAAGACGATGTTACAATAGAAACGCTTTTTGTATGATTTGAGTAATAATAAAGCAAATTAACACCATTAAGGTATTATTAGCTTATTGTTAAAACCTATTCAGTCAATCTAATTCCAATTATTTATATCAAGCCAAAATTAACAAGGTTGTTTAGTTTAAGACATGTCTTCAGTATAGGTTACTTCATAGGTTGTCCTATGCTCGTATTACTATCTTCTTGTCTATTACTCAATTATATAATTTATATAGTTTACAACACTACATCTAATGTAATGAATAAATTTATTTATATAGTATTTTAAGGATATACGATCATTGTTGCGTATTATATGTATGTTTGTCAGAGAAAAAATTAAATTTAAATATGTCTAGTGACCGACGACCACATGTCGGGTAATTGTTGCAAACTATATTTCATTTTTAAATTTAATTAGCAAGACATTCGAATATAAAGTTACAATTAGATATATTTATCATTAAAAAAAAAAGTTAAAAGTGAAAATTTAGGAAAGAAAC